TTTGCTATACTAATAAAATTTGTCAATTCCAACTGATACTCCAGCTTGTATTTCAAATTGGAATACAGTATTTAATTTTTAATGAGAAAGCTAGTTTATTTATCCCTTAAATGCAAAACGTCGCATTTATTAACTTTCCGAAGGAGATATTTATGTTTTCATCAAAAAATCTGATTCGATAATTTTATGTTTTCTCGACGTTTTAAGCCATTCTGAGATCAAATTTGGAAAAAGTATGTGTTTGCGTATTCGATATATCGCGATGAGGACTAGCGATTATCATTTTTGCGCAATGATCAGCCAAGCCGTTTCTTTGCAAATAGCCGAAAAGTGAAAAAAAATTGTTCACGTTTTAGCGCGCAGTTCTGAATCGATTTTGAAAATTCAAAACCCGTTCGAAAGATATTAGTTGGAAACCGTACTGATGAGTTTTTGGTGGAGATCGGCCGGGCCGGGTAATAAAGTGTTAAAAAAAAATTTTCCACGATTTTTATTATTATTTTTTTGACGGTATTTGCCATAGTCTTCTAGATCATACTGAAATATTACTATCCTAGAACAACTCGTTTAGCTTCAAAAATTCGTCAAAGTTTGCAAAAATTAGTATCGTTCTTTTGGCATTGGTCAAAATTAGATCTTTTATCGACATTTGCTCAAAAACGCCTGAACCGATTTCAGAAAATTAAAGGTCATTTGATGTATCTCGATTAGAGTTATCGTTTCTCAGTTCGACGATCGGCCGAGCCGTTTTTTTCAAATTTGGGAAAGTGTTAAACTTAAAGTGTCCACATTTAAGCTCATACTACCGAATCGATTTTGAAAAATCAAAAACAGTTCGAAAGATATTAGTTGGGAGTAATACTGATTAGTTTTAGGTGAAAATCTACCGAGCCGTTTTCTTGTAATTCGTTGTTAAAAAAAATTGAGCCAATTTTTATGAAACATTTTTTGATGATATATATCATGGTCTTACACAACCTATTGAAATATTACGGCTTTACGACAAGTAGTTTAATTTTGAAAATTCACCAAAGTTTGAGAAAATGAGTACTTTTTTTGACGTTTGTTAAAATTAAAATTAGACGATTTACTTTGTATACCGATAGAGTACTTGGTTTTAATGAAAATACTAAACCGGAAACTGGTTCAATTATAAAAATGATTGACTTCTGAAAATTTGCTTTTAGAAAATACTCAGAGGTAACGTGTTCGTTCGCTTTCAATTATGTGCAATAAATCCACTCGGAATACCTTTAATCACTCATAAATTAATTTATTTTTTATTGATTAAGTCGTTTATTTGCACATATCGGGAAGTTCATGCAACTTGCCTTAATGCAAAATACCAATACCAACTATATTTTTATTTATTGTAGAGTTACTACAATGGACCGAAATAATAAATTTATATTACAAAATTTGAAAACTAAACATAGGTTTTCAAAAATTAGATAAAAAAAATTACCAATGAGTCTTGATCATGACCTTTTTCCTCTGCATTCAAAATAGAATATTTAGGTACGTATATATTGTTTGACATTATTAAGAACAATGATTCAGAAGAAACTATATTGTATTACCATTTAATTTAGCCAAAGTAAATTGTATCTACTATGAGGCCATGGGAATATTTAGTATTCGAAATTTAATTATTTCCTGTTATTTTTCTTTACTTAATTCGTCTAAATTTAGCGATATCCAAAATAAGCATTGAATAACTATATATTGTCCGACATAATTATTAACATTTTTATTTATTTCTTTATTCCGGTGAATATATATATATATATATATATATATATATATATATAATATATATAAATAATATATATATATATATATATATATATATTTCCCTTACTTGTTCGTGAACATGGAACCGTATCTTCTCTTGCATTCTGATGAGTCAATTATAGGAATAGAGGCTCCTTTGAGAAATTCAGAAATTTTTGGCCCTCCATCCTAATAAATAAATTATTACTTCAGTTATTGTATTTGTGAATTCAAGAATTTGGTACAATTCCAACTTATGAATATAAAACATTTGGCAACATTCAGGTTGTATTAAAAATGAACAGGTTTAAACTTCATTAACAACTCTACTGGATACTAGTTTTCAGTGAAGCAGTTGTGTGTAATTTGTAAAAAACCATCGGTTATAAATATTTTCCAGTTTGAAAAGGCAGAAAAATAGAAAGTATGACTCACTATTAAAACTAATAAAACATGATTTTGTTATAGAAAACTAGAGGTTATTTCTTAGATAATTTTTAACTATTACATTTATCTTTGTGTAACCCCATCCAGTTATTCTGACAATTTCACCTTGCGGCATTATTACTCCTGGCTCTATTAAACTGATAGTACGGATTGTGATACCGTTTAAAGTCAATGGCGATTCCAAATAAAGCAGGGATACGTCATTATCATAATTGGTATCATTATATTTTGGGTGATTTATCCCTTTTTCTACTTGCATCATAATTCCTCCTTCGTTGATGGTATCACTTCCAGCTCTAACTGCATAGTGTCTTATAGGTATTATGCTAAATAAATTATATAAATGATAAATAAATTAATTAATATTTATATGAGAAATTAATATTAAGAAAATTTATATTATCGTGCATATTCATATTTCATTTAACATAAACAATTTTAAAAATCAATATGCAGATCTGTAATAGTTTGTAATATAAGTAGTTAGCATACCTAAAGAAGCAATGTGCAGCTGTAAGAACCCATTGCTTTGCAATAATTGACCCTCCACAAAAATGAACTTTTAATAATTCGACAGAAACTTGCCATCCATAGTCTTTGATGCTCACATTTGTACCTCCCACTATTCGATCAATGGGCCGTTTGTCGCAACCTGTATGGGCAAATTATTGATATAATGCACACATATCAGGTATATCAATATGAAGTGATCGTCAAGATAAAAATGTCGTGATAAGTAACATTTATTGTGACCAAACCTAGGACATCTCTCAAGCATATTTAGTATACATCAAGCCATATTTTGATAGTGGTAAAATGTTGAATTTTTTACCAGAAAGTGATTTTTTATTGAAAGAAAATCAACACCGATTTGTTAATGGAAAAAACTCACTCATTCTGTTACAACCTTTAACGACGACTGCAAAGCCAGTTCAAGAATACGATGCTGTGGTATATTACGAATTGTTAAGACCTGGAAAAACCGTTATTACTGATCAATTTGAATCATACATTGATCGAAAATTGACCAGAATGGATCAAAAGACAAGAAAAGGTATTTTTCTACATAATCAGGCACCTACACACAAAGCAAAACCGGTTCAGAAAGCAAGCAAAGCACTTCTCTATGATTTGCTACCACACCCGCCGTATTTACCAAACTTTGCTTCTTCCGACTTCCATTTGTTTAACCCTCCGTCGGTCGGCGTGGTCTGGCCAGACTGTTTTCGACTTCAATTAAAAAAAAATACTTCTAGTAATCCTATAGACTTGAAATTTTTTGACTTTTCCTAAAATTTCATTAGCTGTCGATCAATGAAAAATTCAGGACGAAAAATGTACAGAAGGATAATTATAAGGATAAATACTTTTTTATACTTCGAACGGTCGGAAAGGTCTGTCCACCACCACCACCCATACATTTTGTATGAAATATACGCTTTTTGATATATGTAAACCAGTATTTTGTCTTTTTTCATGGTATTTTCTATTCAATTTCTATTCTGCGTTGTGTATATTCTTTGCTATGTGTTGTAACATGAATGTTAGTATTTTCATGACGAGAGTTCCTTGAAAACCTACCAAACTTATTGGTAATCGCAAACACTGAAAATCGGATGAGTATGCACACATTATCAACAATTTTTTACTCATACTGCGTTCAAAATTTTTTTTTTTGGAAACCTGTAGTGAAATTATATTTTCACTTTGAGTTTCACACCTCATTTCGTTTTCGTTTGAATTTCACATTCATTTCAAAGGCGCCGAAAAAGAATAAATATTGTTTTTCATTGACATGAAACAGAAAAATTAACAAAAAAAGCAACGATTTTTTTATAATTCTTGATTTTTTTATATAATATAATATGTAATATTTTTATTATAAGCAAGCTCAAATGCAAAAGACGGTAAGAAAAAGAAAAAATCAAAACTTTAAATATTTACTACTAATAATCGTTAATATATAAGACACCAAAAACTCATTTATCCCATATAAATGCATGTAAAATGAATGGTGGTCCAGCCAGACCTTTCCGACCGCTCGAAGGTGAAAAAATATCCGACCGACGGAGGGTTATAAAATCTGATTTTTTTGTCGTGGTGTCTACAAATTATCGGAAATATAGACAGAATGGAATAGACAGAAAAATACATTGAGTATTTTTTTTACTTACCTATTAGTAATTAGTGTTTAATTTTTACGAAAAACGCTCATTTCATATTGATAAGATTATCATCGTTACTATCTTAAGATTGTTAAGTTTTGTTAAATAATCAAAACGAAAATATGTTGTAGTGATTTTTAGCTCATTTTGCTGTCGATTTTCGATGGACATATATATATTTATAAATTCCCTGTTTATATATATATATATATATATATATATATATATTTTATATTTATATTTATATATATATATATATAATTTTTTAATTAATTTATCAATTTTCGAAAAAAACAACACTACAATCAAAACTTTTTTCATAAAATAATATATATAGTAATATAACTATAGTTGATTATGTGTGCCGAAGGTAATATTAACTATAAATAATGTACAAAAAATTATCGTATATTATTTACTATATTTCATAATATAATACTTACGTGCACCTCTATTCAAAAGTATAGTGTAACTAAATATTAAAAATATTAGCCCACAGTTCATTTCAACTGGTAATAGTTGTTATTAACTGTGATGTTACTGTTATATTACTGTTACAGTTTTATTACTGTTACAGTATATACAAATGTTTTTCGTTTGCTTAAATTAACATTCATTTGAAAACATATAAATTTCCTCCATATCTTTGTAATTACTGATAATTGCGTGGGTAATTTTCATTAATGGGGAATTCGAATAAAAAAAATAATTATTCACTTTTATGTAAATAAAATTTATGTAAAACTTCATTAACTTCCCGTAGGATAAGTTACAGTAATTGCAAAAAAAATCTAAAATGAAAATTTTTATATATTTTTACGTTTCAAAGGTTTTTGAACATTTTGGCATACCATAGAGAAAATGGATGTATGTGTGTTTGTGTATGTGTGTGTGTGCGGATACAAATTTTCGTCGACGATTTCGGGAACACCGATCCACCGATTTGAATTCAAATTCAAAAAACATTTCATTCATATTGTGCTAATTAGTTTTTAGCGAAGGCATGTCTAGCCGTTCCAAAGATATGGGACAAAAAGTGCCAAAATCGGTAACTCAGTTTTTAAGAGAACGGAGCGTTCGATTTTAATAATTCAAAAAAAAAAATTATTTGTATTGACAAGATGAAGAACTGATTAAATTTTTGGGAAGGTAAATAAGTTAAATGTCATTTTGCGGTCAAAAATGTTTATTGGACATATGTACATCAAATTATCAGATATTTTATAGAGATTCTAATAAGGTATACACATTTTGTGTAAATTTTTTGGGTACTGTTAAATTAGGGTACGGGCAGTTCCAACAATTTGTCTTAAGGCACGATGGCATGCAACCCATTAGTTTAGTGTTAAATCATGAAAACGAAATGTTTTCAATGTTTTAAATCATGATGTTGTAGTGATCCTTAGCTTATTTTGCTGTCGAATATTTATTATATTGTCCAGAACTTCTGGCCAGAAAAGTTACATATATTTAGAAATTCTCTATAATATATTATCATTTTCTAATTAGTATATTAATATTTAGAAAAACTAGTATATGACATCGTGCCTTATGGCAAATTTCTGGAACATTTTGTAACGAAACGAAATGTTCGAGGAATATCAAATGTTTTCAAATAGATTATATAAAATAAATACTGTATCATTATCTAATATTTATAAGAATTATATAAACTGAATTGCAAAGTTGAAATTATTTGTTTATAGTATATTAGAACAGAATTAAAATTAAAATCTGAATTATTTTCGATGTACAAAAAAAAAATATTTTTTTGATAAAATGAAAAAAAAAATTGAGAAAAAAATTAAACAAATTTAGCCTGTATTTTTGAAATAGCTGGACCTGCCTTTGCCAAAAACCTATCACCTCTTCTCTCAATCATTATAAATTGAATATTTCTAGGATTATTCAAATCGGATACTCTTTTTGTTTTGTTTTAAATTTCAAAAAAAAAAAATTTTAATATCAAAAGTAATTCGGATTTTAATTTTAATTCCAACTAAAGTTCTAAAGCTTACTTCAAATTTATAACTTTTACTTTGCAATATCTTTCATTTTAAATCCGATTGATTAAGTTTGCTTATTCAATTTTCTATAAAAATGTATAAAAGTCGTCGTTCAATTTATAAGCTCTTATAAATAATAAATGTTACAGTATTTATAACAATCTTTTTGAAAACATTTAATTTTTTTCCACTATTTCATTTCGATACGGGAAGTTCCAGCAATTTGCTTCAAGGCACGATGCCAAACACCACTAGTATATATAATTTATAATCAAAATTCAATAATTATCCGTTGTAATTAGGTGAAAATCCTCATACAAAACAGATCAAATACTGCACGATTGCACAACTTATCTTAATTTATCTCCCGACAAATATTGTGGAATATCTTCTTCATGAAATATTCTTTGTTTAGTTGAGTAATTGAAAGATGATGACAGTATAAGAAATTGACGCTTATCTCGCGCCAGTAACCGAATATTGCCATTAATTCTTTGTTTATTTTCTTACTGTTTTTCCGACTCATAGAACCTGAGCTTCCTTCGTGAAAATCGAAAATTAATCTATAAGTACTTTTATTATTTTCATGTTCGATAATGCGTTTAACGTCTTCTTCTTTATTTTATTCCGAGCTCGGTTAAGAAGCACTTTAGATTTCTCCCTACTTTGTGAGCCATTATCTCTACCATGGATATTTATCTTTTACATTATATATATGGATATACACACATATATATTATATATTATATATATATATATATATATATATATATATATATATATATATATATATATATATTATATATATATATATATATTATATATATATATATATATATATATATGTATATATATATATGTGTATGCTTGAAAAGCCCGACATTTTCATAAAGCATTTGTTTGAATCTTCACGGGTTTTATGGTAAATTACGCTACTTGTCACACGAAAAGGTAAACTGTGAAGTAAAAGTAAAAGGTATCAAATGGGCTTTTAAATTTGGGACTTCTTTCGAAAGCGAACATAATCATATTCTGTTTTTATTTTTTACATATGTGCTTTTACCGAAGCTGGTGTAACATGGGTGTAACCATATGGAAAGCAATAAGGAGGTAATATAGCATTTTCAGACTAGTCGTTTTATAATAAAAGTACAATACCGCATTGTGATTTTTTTTTTTAAGTATTTACCAATTTGATAAATTTACCAATTTGATAAGTTTTCATTGGTTTTAACATTTGACTAGGATATTTGGTATTTGATGAAGTTATTAGTGTCTTTCCCACAAAATAAATATCCAGATATAAGTAGCGTTTTGTATTAAAAAATTGCAAGAACTTCACGATAATTGTAAATAATCTACTTAGTCAATAAAAATTAAAATGTAGCAATTCAGGAAAAACTGTTTATTTTGGAAATATGTTTTCGCCTTCACTAAAAACTGAACCTAGTGTTGCATGGCATCGAGCCTTAAGGCAAATTCCAGAAACTTCGCTTACCGTAATGAAATATTCGAATAATTTTAAATGTTTTAGAGTAGATTATTATAAAAACTGTAACTTTTATTAATCGTATTTTATAGATAAAGTACAAGACTTATAAACTGATCAAATACGTTTATATATCTTCACATGATAAGTTAATAAACAAAATATGATCAAGAGGAGTTAGAATGAAGAAAAGCTCATCTCATATTTCTAACAATTATATAAACTGAATTGCAAAGTTTAAATTATTTCTTTCAAGCATATAAGTGAAGTTTAAAACTTTAGGTCTATTTAAAATCAAAATCTGAATTATTGTGGGACATTTTTTTAATAATTAATTTTTTTATCATTTAAATTTTGAAATGATAATTTTGTTTTGGCTCTCCAAAAACTACTC